AATACTAAAATCTTTCTGGCCTCTAAGAGAACGTTTAATTCTTTCTCCTATGCAAAGGAATGTTTCTCCCTGAGACAGTGGTTCTCAAATTCTGGTTGGCATCAGAAGCTCCTGGGGAGCTTGGTAAAAACACAAAGGTGCAAGCCCCATTTATCTTCACTGAGCCTGGGCCTCAATGGTGCTTCTTTTACACACCAAAGTTTGAAAAGCACCGCCCTAGAACTTCACCCAGCCCTCTCCTTATGCTTCAGATTTTGGCGATGTCACTGCCTCAACAAGTGGTCTCTAAACACCAACCCATCCAGTGTCCAGGCAAGGCACCATCTTCAACCATCCTGTGAGGACCACCTACAAACTACCCACTCCCATCTGTCTCCATCACAAGAAGGCAAGACTCCAAGACAAAAGGAAGTGTGTCTACTTTTTTACCATGATATCCCCAGCACCTAACACAGTGCCTGAGACTCATTAAATGAGGCTCAAAAATATACCCACTCATTGTGAACCAGCATTTTCACTTCTAGGAATTCATCCTAAGGAAATAATTAAGAATGTACTCAAACATTTAGCCATAAGGATAAAGCAGAGCTAGGTTTATGATGGCAAGAAATTGGTATCTAATGTTCATCAATAAATTGGTTAAACTAAAATAATGAAGCTGTCATTAAAAGTGAGGTAGTCAACAAACTGCAAGTGGAAATTTTTTAAAAAATAAGTGGAGGAAGAACCATAGATTTAGAAACTCAAGACACATATTAGCCAACTGCAATAAATGAAACTTACATGAATTCTGATTTGAAGAACCTGTTTTTAAAAAACACATTTGAGACAATTGGGAAAATCTGAATACTGACTATATAGTTTTATAGTTTAAGTAAGTGTGATATTATGATTGGGTTTTTTTAAGAGTCCTTTTAGAGATACATACTGAACAAGTTGTTGGTGACATGTCTAGGATTAGGTTAAAAAAAAAATCCAGGGAAGAGGAAACATGGGTGGGAGTACAGATAAAACAATGTTAGCCATGAGCTAATAGCTACTGAAGTTATTCTACTTTTGTATATGTTTGAAATTTTCCATAAGATATTTTTTAAAATCCTCCTAAAATGATGTAGAATACTTAACTTAGGACTTAAAAATTTGTTCCCCATTTATTAAGTGAAAGAAGCAGGTAACAAAACAGTACGATCCCATTGTATATAAATAAAAATGCACCCACCCAAAGGTCTAAAAGGGCATAATACCAAAGACGTAACAGTTTCTTCCTTGATATTCTCCAACAGAACTTCCTATGATGATGGATATTTTCTATAATCTGCCCTGTTCAAAACAGTAGTCACTAGAGCCAGCTCTGATGGCCTAGTGGTTAAAGTTCCACGTACTCCACTTCAGTGGCCCAGGTTCCATTCCCAGGCATGGAACCACACCACTCGTCTGTCAGTAGCCATGCTGTGGCGGTGGCTCACACAGAAGAACCAGAAGGACTTACATGTAGAATATACAACTACGTACTGGGGCTTTGGGGAGGAAAAAAAAAGACAAAGATTGGCAACAGATGTTAGCTCCAGGTGACTCTTTCCCAGGGGGAAAAAAAAAACAGTAGTCACTAGGCACATGACTAGTGAGCTCTTAAAATGTGGCAGTGTGACAGATGAACTGAACTCTTAATTTTGCCTAATTTTAATTAATTTAAATTTCAATAGCCACACGTGCCTAGTGGAAACCACACTGGACAGCATAGGCAGATGATGGAATTACGGCTGTCTTCTTTACTTATCATTATTTAAACATTTTTCTACGAGGAAAAGACATTGTTTTGCAATAATGAAAATGTAGGCTGTTTGTTTTCATTTAAAAACATTTACTGACTATCGATGTAGGTTCTCTCCCTCACAGAACTATTCTGAAAATGAAATGAAGTGGAATAAAACAAGTTATATATAAAAAATTTATGTTTCCACTTTCAATTAACTTTTAAAGGCAAGGCAAAGGCAGGCAATTCACTTCCAGGTCTGTTCCTTCAATCCATTCCTTCATTCTCAATTCACATAAAAACATGTTTTTGTTCATTTACTAAAAGGATTGAGTGTGAATGTGTTGCCTCGATTAGGAACTTCAACAGATATGTCAATCATAATGGAAAAAAATTAGAGCTGGGTCAAAAATTGCCTTTGTGGTTTTTAGCTAATGAATTAATTGGGAGCCATATAGCTCTGTGAGCACACAGAATAAAATATTTAAAAGATCAAAATGGATTTCTTGATTGAAGCAATCAGCAAATAGGAGCAATCTGGATGAATCTGACAGGGCTGGAAAGGAATATAGGACCTTAAACATGACAGTCGTTAACAGATACGTCTGCAGTTGTAGTTCACAATAAAGTGGAAGTCTGAGCACAAAAAAAGTATGCCAGAGGTGAGATTTTTATTGACTTATTATCATAATTTTTCAGCATACAAAGTATTTAATCAACTATAATATTTACAATTCTTACATAATGTACATTTTAGAATAACTATAAAGATAATGTACTTTGCTCCATTTACAATGACAACCTACAGTAGAACTACATTCACGAATAGATACAAATCCTCTACATACTAATAAAAAGTAAATGGAGTGTTGGTTATACATTCTTTAAAATATACCTTTTCACAGGTAGCAAGAAATATTACATGTAATAAGTCTTTATGACTGGAATGATCCAGAAATACCACAAAGCACAAGTAAACACATAAAGAAAAGTAGCTCATCATTTCCAAAAGTTAACCTTTAGCCTTTGTGTAAGATAAATGGTGCCAACAATCTTTATAATGTAGCGAGCTTTCCCTGTTTAAAATGAACACCCAAAAGGTGGGGAAGGGTGTTGAGGAAAAATAAGCAAGTCTAGAACATAAGATAATGAAAACATCAACAGAGAGAAAAGTTTAATCAAACTTTGCTTCCCTGCCCCCACTATCCCATTTTAAGTACATACATTTATGTAAACAGAAAAGAATGTCCACAAAACCATATTTATAGATGTCAGGATTCAGCCAAACTGAATCCAAGCCCCTAAAAGTTATCTTTCATTTGGAAGCATCAAGAAATTGATAAGTATATGGTGAATTAAAATTATGTTTTTCTTTCATTAATGTTTGTTATTGCAAAAATGTAAAATTCCTACAATTCAATGTCTTCAAATCCTAATCTATTCCTTCAAGGTAATTTTATATCCAGGTTCTCCAGAATATCTGGAGTCTTTGTTATCAAAACACAAGGAAAGCTGGCAGTCATTATCAGATTTTGCTGCTTTACAATGATTCAAATCATTTCATGATACGAGTAAAGTGCCTCTGACTAGCAGTCAGTCAGACAGGGGTTCTGGTTCAGCTATACCACCAACTAGCAAAGCAGTGACCCCCTCTGTAAAACAAGAGGAGCAGCCCAGGATCAAAGAAGGGACAATGCTGGTGCTCTTAGATTACGATCTCAGAAGTCCTACTGTGAGATCAGGTGAGATAAAGTAATGTCTCAGAGCTCTGTTTTTCTGGAGGGCACTGTGAGGAGCAGAACAGTACACAAAGGGATGTTGTTCTAGTTTCTCCTTGTTACATCCACTCATTTTATTTGTGAGGAGCTCTGATTCCAAAAATAGTAACTACTAGTCATGCTCTTTCCACAGTATCATGCAGGTCTGAAGTCATTCTGGACATACCATTCTATAAAAATATATCATTTTTCCAGCTCATGTCCATGATCAAAAGTGCTATTAAACAGAGAAGTTAATTTCACAATATAAGAGAAATGTGGGAATGTCTTATTATTCAAAATGGGCAGTAAATTTAGTCTTAAATACAATTTGGTTTATTGTGACCATACTTTACACATGTAAAATCATATTTTTAAAACACTGCTTAACACATCACAAACTTAAATTGTTCAGACTGTGAAAGTACAAACTTCTTTTCAAAATGCACGCATGAAGAACCAAAGTACATATTCCAAATTAAATCTATATGTTTTGGAAAGTAAACACCAAAGTTCATTAAAATCCACAGTGAAGAACCGTATAAATTAGGCAAACACTGAATGTAGTGAATCCCTGGAAATTTCTGAATTTCTAAGGATTGTACCAAAAGTAATTTTTAAATCCTTAGAAATCTTAACCATATAAGTGTTACAATGAAAAACTGCAAGTAACTATTTAATTACCGCTAGTCTAGTTCTAACGTGAAACTGCACTTTATGAACTCCTCATAGTCTTGCTATTCTTATTTTTATATTAATCTAACTTTTAAGTCAATGAGCTAATGATAATGAGCTACAGAATGATGATAAGGAATCAGAAACTATTATCAGCCAGTTAGCAAAAGAAAACAAAGAGCAATCACATCGACTTATGAAGCCCAAGCGTATGATTAACATTGTTTACACTATAATTTCTCATAATGCATTGAATAATTCACAGCATAATAACACTCTGATTTGTTACATACTATAGAAAAGCTATTAGTTGACACAGCTAAATTCACCTTGGTAAGAGCCAACCGACTTTGTTACTACTTGTAACTATTAATTTACTTTCAAGCCTTGCTGTTTACTGCATCATTTCTGCCAAATTTAATCCAAATTGGGTCTTGATATATTCAAGAAACCAAGCCACAGAAATGTATTTTTGTATTGGCAGGCTCCCTGTACTGTTCAAGATTTCGCTTTCTCTGAAGATATTCAGAACCATGATCATCTTTAGCACTCTTCAATTACATACTCTAACCCTTAAATACAAGTGGACACTAAGTACTGCCACATGAACAACTCCTGACTCAAGCCATGGGAGGTAAAAGTGTCATCAAGAATTGGCTTCACAACCAGAGATCTCAGAGGTGATCTGAAGCACCAAAGGCTGGATCCAAAAGGAAAACTGCCTAGGCTTCCTCAGGTAAACATAAGGAGCTTTAGGAGTGAAGTCCTAGGATTAAAACAGGAAGAGGCACTACAACGGGAAAGTGAGTCTCTCTTTTCTTTTCTCTTTCTATTTGTTCGTTTTCGACATATTTTCTTATCCTTGAGTTTTTCGGACAATTAATTTCAAAGTACACTCTAACAAAAATGTTACAAATCAGACTGTTGCAAAGCCGGATGATCCGTGACTCTGAGGTGAAATAGGAAAGATTCAATGTTCCTGTTATTATTGTAATTAAAATACAAGGCTTTGGAAGTTGGCCTTTTCTTAGAAATAATTCACAAATATATTTTATCCTTATCTAGTATACAGTGATTATTACTAAATAAGCATTATATGCATGCAATGTGGACACACAAATATGGAAGATTTTTCTGTGATGTGAATTTATTTCCGTATAATATACTCCTATTTAGATAGATCTGTTTTGACATTTAATCAACTTATAAAACTCTAGTTACTGGAGGGGAAATGTTATAAAATTTATCATCTACCCAATTAAATATAATTTCTCCACTTACTTGATAACTCAAGTTTAAAAACTTCTCTTATTTAGAAACTGAGTGCCAATAATATTACTTACATGTAACTTATAAAAGAAGATTAAACTTAATTGTTGACAATTTTAGAAAGAAACCATAAGGCCAATTACTTAATTATTTTATACTCCTAACAAGATATGTCAATCAAAGATGTAATCAGACTAACTTGTAACATGTACATATAAATTAGTATACCACAATATTTTGGAATTCAAAGGTCTGTGATTCATGTAAGCAAATATTAAAGCTATATAGATGCTATAATTTAAAAGAATGTACACTGTGTACAAGTACACAGGACAGATGTTGGAAAAGTTAAAAAGCAACTTACTGCTGTATATTTTAGTTTAAACCAAGAAAAACATGAGTTTTTTTCCTCCTTTTAGAGAGATTTTTCTCTCAACTAGGAGCAATAGCAAAAATGTATCTTGAAAAGAACAAATTTCAAATATAAAAATGTTCTACATTATTTTATAAATCAACTTTTCCTTTGAAAGTTACAATCTGATGAAAGCATAATTTTGCAACATTCAAATAACCTCTGAAACAGAGTTTTATTACATCAATAAATTTGTCAAGGTTTTAAGGAAATCAGCCCAACAATGAAGAACTACACTTCTATAACTGAGATTCTTTTGGTGATTAAAAAAACATTAAGGGCTTCTTTTTGCTTTATAAACTGGAATAAACCTAAAGGACTAAGTTATGTCTACCTGTAGAGCCATTATATGCCTGTTAAAGTACTGGACAATAACCAGACATCTAAGGAGTATAACTGCATTTATGAGCAAATGGGAGAAACATAGTCTCTAGTTCTAATAATTAAATAATATTGTGTGTATGACAGCTAGGCTACCAAAAAGCAAAAAACAATTTCTGAACCACCAAAAATCATTAGGGAAGCTAAAGAAAAGACATAATTCTCGAGCAGGCAGGACAGTCGCCTCCCACTTGATGCAGATATGCTTGACTGGCACGTGCATCCTGGCACGATGCATAGAAAAAAATCAATGCTACCATCCACTGGCAAAAAAAGAGGTTTTGTCTAAACTCCTAGCATCTTGTAACCTAAAAAAACAGCCCTTTAAACAGGCTTTTTTTTTTAATAAAAGAAGTCTCTCCCAACTACTAGAGATCAATGTTTTAGTTTATAAAAATATCAATGAATGGGTACCTTTTTCTAAACCATTCAACATCTACTAAAATTAAGAAGCAGAAGTAAAGCAGTAAAAATCTGTGAATTTTCAGATGTACACATTAGGGGGTCACCAGACTTAATATTTTTTCCTTCTTAAAAAATTCAGAATTTCTGTGAATCTTGCTGGAAACGATTTAGTTTCTCTGGATTATTGGAGGCCATTTGGGAAAAATCACGAAAAATGTCCTGGTAAGTTTCATCACCTGCATGAAAGTAAAATAAGGACATTTTTTAAATTTATACATTGAAAGTATTAAAAACAACATTCGTTTTTATGACTAGTAACTATTTCATAATTCATTACATTAAAATTTTGTTCAGATGAGCATTTTTGGAAGGAAAAAGACCAACTAAATATAAATGCTGGGAAAGTATATAGAGAAAGAAAAAAAAAAACTATACCTGAAAAGCACCTCAGATGCAGCCACAGAGGAAAGTTCAGAGTTAGAAAAGAGCAAAGATGCAAGTGTTTTAAAGCAATGTAAAGAAATACATTTATTAACACATGAGAAATAAAGCTCATTCTAAATGAGGTATAGTAAACAAAGCATTCTTTAAATAAACATTTCCCTTGATCAAGGCCAAAAGAAAAGACCAAAAACAAATACTAATGTTTCTGATGGATGCAAGTTATTAACAAGACAAAACTGATAATCAGGTGGGGAAAAAGCCTCCTATTTTAATGTTATCTTTTAATTAAAAGGCATTTTAATTTAAATAGCATGTGAAAAAGTAATTCTTTACTCAAACTTTAAAACTAATGCACTAATGCACTGCTTACTAAGCTTATAAAATAATAAAGTCTAGAAAATGACTATAAAATCATAGTTGCACATTTAGTCAGAAGTTTTTTGTCTACTGTCAGTGATATGAGCAAGAATGCTATGACAAAAGGGGAATAAATACCACAGACATCTGTTAAATTAGTAATACACATATGTATAAATGTACAAATATGCCTGCAGAGAAGCAGATTATAGATATTGATCCTACAGCAGACTGAATATGACATTTTTCTTGCCATGAGAAACTAAATATATACACACACAGATTAATTCCTCACACAAAGGATTTGTATAAAGTAAAATCTTATTTTCAAGATGAATCATTCATCATAAATGCTCCCTATTAAACATTAGCTTTATATAGAAGCTTGGGATAGGGCCGACCCTGTGGCTTAGCGGTTACGTGCGCGCGCTCTGCTACTGGCGCCCCGGTTTTCAGATCCCAGGCACGCACCAACCCACTGCTTGTTGGGCCATGTTGAGGCAGCGTCCCACATACAGCAACTAGCAGGATGTACAACTATAACATACAACTATCTACTGGGGCTTTGGGGAGAAAAAGGGGAAAAAAAAAAAAAGAAGCTTGGGATAGTTCTGTTTTCAAGATTTAGACCATCAAATACTGTTTTAGATAATTATTGTTGCAACACAGTTTTATAATTATTTCCCATAACATACCTTGCATCCATCTTATTACAAACTCATTACTACAGTTGTTAATAGTGCAGTAAGTTTTGTCAGCTTTTAAAAAGCGAGATTTTTGAGGCAATAGATGTCATACCAAAAGCTAAAGAATTAGAAAAAAGATGGGGGAGGGGGATAAAGATCTAGTAAAAAGGTCTAACAGCATAACCCAAGATTTTCAATAAAAAATTTTAATACTTTTAATATTTAGTCACTTTTAACATTTAGTCTACGTAAAAAGCAAGTTATTAAAATCTCCATATAGTTTTCATTTAGCCCTGGAAATTTTCTCATGACCTGAATCAATCTACTTTAAAAAGAAAACATACAGTGAGAAGAGAATCTTAATAGGTTGGCTAAGAGTAATATCTAACTCATATTATTGTTACTAAAACAATAAAAATAAAGGTTGATATGCTGGAACAACTGGTAAGATAATCCAATTACACCATGATTTCTTACAAGATTACTCCCACATTAAAAGACAAACTACAATTTATTCCCATTTTTAGCCACTCTAAAAGATATAAAATAAACTGAGAGAGACCAACATTAAATATCAATTAACAAACCATACAAAATATTTTAAAATTTTTCTTATTCTTAGATGTTGAATTAAAATATTTAAAATATTTATTGTAAACATTATAAATATTTTTAAAATACTATTTAAACTGGAGAGTGTGGAATTTTACTTTCCAACAAAGTGTAAAGTGCCGATTATAATACAAAAATATCACACTGATTTTACCGTTCAACACCAGAAGTAACATAAAAGGCACACGTTATACATTCAAGAAGAACTAGGAAAAAGGATCTAGCAGACACTAATGCCAAATAGTTTACAGATAGCACCAGATGAGCATTCTTAAGTATTACAACAGTACAATGGCAATATATGGCTTCTACTATTAGCAATGCATATTTTGTATAACAAGCTGTGGGATTTTTTTTTCTTTTTGTGGTTTTCCAGTTTTTGTTTTTAAATCATCTAGTACCTATTACACAAGTACATTTTAGTAGAACCATTGTACCATGCAAAATAAATTATAAGATCTTTTATTCACTGAATTAAATGCTTCCTTGAAGCAAATTGTTGGTGCTACACTAATCATTGGTTTCACTTACCGAATACATTTTAAAAGAGTTAATACAAAAGGAAATCTCACCTTCACACATACACAGAAAACTTTTTGTTAACATTCAGTTTCTAACAAAACATTAATTAATGGACTATCAATATAATACCTTTCTTAGGCCTCAAAATGTGTTGTCAGAAAGCAAACACTACAATAACAATAGTGACTAAGATATTTAATATAGTTAACACAAATTGAACTTCAATGTGATTCTTTAAAATTTAAATATAATTTTAATCATTTAGAACTTTTCCCAAGGCAAATATAACTTGTCTACACTAGAATACAGAATCAAGAATCAGAATATGTTGCCCCGGAAAGTTCATAGAAGTACATTTAACAGTTCATAAATGGTCAACAACCAATCACCCAATATTTGTAATGCTAAGTTATATCCTTTAAATTACTTAATCACATTCTATTTCTCTTCAGCAAGTTAACTCTTCTATGTGCTTAGACAGTTCTGAGTTATTAAAATGTGGATTGTCATATTTCCACTGATAGTTTAACATAGTTTTTGATTTTTGGTATTCAGAATATCCATTGCAACAGTAGTTATGATGATCCAAGATTTTGCTCTAGAAATGCACTCCCCTCAAAGAGATGGCAGCATGTGAGACCCCACCCTCAGGTGATCAAGTGTATGATTCTGCCTCTTCTGGGTTGATTACAGCTTCCTCTTTATAACTGACTAGATCAGTGACCAACCTTTACCAGCAACATACTCACATAACCAGCAGCGGTTCAATAAACCAATGACTTTCAACTGGCGGAGAAACTCTGCCAACAGTCAAGAGGAGTCAACGAGCCAGAGATTGTGGGAACTACCAAACTGGTTTCCAACAATTGAGACCAGGGCACGATACTTCACTCACCCACCCAGTCCTCCTAAGAGTTGTAGGAATTGATAAAGAGGGATACATCTTCCCTTCAGGAAATGTGTGCTTTTACATCACCTTGCAAAAAATAGAGAGTCTCAGATCCTTAGGATTGTAGACAGAAAATTCAGAAGTGGGGTTTCCTAGAAATAGGTCTATGCTTCCCAAAGATTATATCTGAGTCTCTTAAATGGTAGAGCTCTTCATTATCAAAAGATTGAAAATACCTGCATTTAAAAATTACCCAGAATTCTGAGGTTTTCTTTCTATTGCTAGGCAACAAAAAAAAGGGTCCAGATAAAACAATCAACCAAATCTATGAGACAAAAATTTACAGTGATAAGCAGAGGGGAAAAATAAAGACCTACTGCCTGAGCAAACACGTTTGCTCTCCAAAGACTCACAAAGGAAAAGAAAAGTCGCCAGAGAGCAACTGCTGTGCCATTTCACCACGTCACCTGTATAAGTACAAAGCATTCTGCTTTAAATATGAGACCCTCTAAATGAATTAAAAATCGAATTATCATCAAGATGATCCTCAAATGATCAAAATCTCATTTTATTCTGCTGATAATGCCATTTCCAGAATTCTGATCTATTTTTTAACCTCTAAACTAAAATTTGAGAGTGGTAGGAAAGCTTGTTTTTTAAAATGAGGCTTTTTTGCAAATTTTCATTCAAATAAATTGGAAAAACTATTTTTCTACTGATGAGTGGAAGGTGTATACTCATAAACTTATACATAAAACGACAGTGAAAGAGACATCTGAACGCTCCTAAAATGGTGGCAGCAGAAGCCCAAGCAATTTGGGTGGAACTAGAAGTTGCGAGAACATAGAGGCCCTGCCCTTTCAAGCTTCCAACTCCAGAGAAAGGTCGACCACTGACCTTCTGACTAATCAGTTGGGTGTAACTTCATCAGCAAACACCATAAGGAAAGAGCAGCTAACCAAACATTTAAGTTTAAAATTTCAGGGAAAAAAAATTGCTTAACTTAAAATCTTGAAGTTCACACTTATCTCACAAATCTCAGGTCATATCCTTTGAATAATTTTTATTTTAAAGTGCTTAAACACAAAGGCCTCAAAAGTGGCCTAGTAATACTATCACTTAAGTATATCTGTCACAAAATTATAACTTATTTAAAATCTAACATTCACGCTTAAAACATATGGGTGAAATTCAGAATTAATGCTGAGACTTCACCCTTAATCAGCACTCTTACATCTTGGTCTATCATGAGTCAGTAGTACTGTTTGATCCATAGGATTCAAGTGGGACACTCTAGATTAGAACTATCTAGCAGAAGTGCTTCTATTCTCAAAGTCCTTACTTGTTCCCTATTAAATTAGACCAAAAATAAGTAGTAAACACAGTCCTCTGAGAAAAGAACGGCCCCACATTTTATATTAATTATATATTAATCTGATTAAAATAAAAGTAAATGGCTGAAGCTAGCATAAAGTACCGAAATTTCAAAACAATATTTAAACAAAAAGAATAGATGATATTACCAAGCCACTTTTAAAATAATATATTAATTTTCATTGAAAAAAAATCAAATATATTAAATATTCTCAATTATTTTAGTCATGAATTCCTGAAATTTTTTACTAATATGTATATGAATTTAAAACAGATAAATTAGTAATTCATATACTCAAATTCATGAAACTGGAGATCCAATTATTACTCTCTTCATTGTAAAGAATGTCTAATTAGGATGTGTTCAAAAAAATGAATCTGATCAGCAACACTGCTTCCTTTTCTTGACATCTTGACTCAAAGGTAAATATTATTCAAAATGAGACTTGAACTGATCCTGAGCTGATATTTCTCTAAAGGAATAAGTCTACTTTGCCATCAGATTCATGAAATATTGTTATAAACACTTCCATTTATCCAACAGATATTGTCCAATTGCTTGGGGCAAAGCTACAAGATAAAATTAGACCTTTTCCCTATACCTTTTAAATGAACTCTACTCCCATTATGGACTTCCTAACCTACTGGTAAATTTTATTTTTAAACTTTCAACTCATTTTTAGATCAGAGTACAAAACTCTTAATTCAATAAACTTTTTCTAGGTATTTTCCATACTGATTTTTTATATGCCCAACACATGGTGATTTGTTTTTTCCCTGAACACAATTTATAGAAATTCCCTGAATAAAAAAAAAACAAAAAAACAATTTTGTTATATTCACATGACAGCTAAAGAGAATTCCAAAAAGAAAACAACTATTGTGCTGCTGTAAGTGTATAAAGATGCATTATCATTCCATTCACTTCACTGGAATGTATATGGAAGACATCTGTACAGCAGATAAAGAAGTCAGCAGCCAGAGTTAAATACAGCAAGTAAATGTGTACTGTAATAGGAATAGTTATGGATTTTTAAAGGCCCGGGAGTTAGCCACCCCCAAGATTTCAGTAAGTAGTACAGACCTAACAACTCACAATTTACAAGTTATAAAAACTCTATAGTAATAAGTGAGTTTGCTAAAGAACTATGAATCTTCCAATTGTAAACTGATAAATTCCTGAATGCATTTCTTATACTGCATTTCAGTATGGTTATTAGTAGAATATTGACCTGGCTGTCCATAAAGTCCTTCTGATTCCCGCATCTCTTCATTCATTCTTGCTAAACGTAACCTAAAATTAAAGAAAATTATTTTTTAGATGAAGTTATACAATATAAAAATTCATAAACTAATGAATTACATTAGCAGGTACATGCACTGGTGTAGTTTTTTTCTTTTACCAGTATTCCCCTCTAAAATAAAGAGCCTTTTAGTTTATCAGACCCAGCAATCTGAGATACAAAAATAACTGTATTTTACTTTAGACAATTTTCATGACCGAAGACAGTAAAAGATTTCTGACGACTGCATTTCGGCTCTGGTTAAGCAGGATTCTTGTAGCACCTCCAGCAGCTTGATTCCTTCAGATGCTCTCAGAGAATTCCTGGCTTCTACAGCAACCTGTCAAACTTTAACTGCCAAATGCTGAAATTACTGCTTCTATAGTATGGAAGCAATAGTCTGTCATAAGTTCATTCTGGTTCACCCTGAGGTGAGGTAGTTCCAGACATATAAATAGCATGTGTTAGCTATAAATACTAGGAATATATTTTGATATACAAACATTATAATAAATGACCACAAGTTACCAAGATTTTCCCAAAGTTACCATATTGGTTATATATTCCTTTTTGGGTTATTCATCCTGCAGCAGGCAGCCATGTAGCACCAGATTAAGATGATGAGAATTTCCGTCCATTTTCTTACTAACTTACTAATTTTGAAACAGGCAAATGTTGCCTTTGGTGCCCCTCTCCTACTTTGTACTACTTGCCTGTCCTTCAAGCCACCAAATACTCACTGCCTTCCCAGACCTCTATCACCCTCGTGTAACATGCTCTCTCTGGCAAATGCAGCATCTGACATGGGCTTTTCCTATCTTCAGTACCACAATTCTCTCCCGTCTCCTTTCTCAACCACTGTGTGAATTAATAATAGTGCCATAAGTCTGCCTTTGGTATTTGAACTTTTCAAAGAAGACATCTATTTTCAAAAATTTTTAAGTGAAACTGAAGTCCTCACACAAAGTGTAATGAGAAAATGTAGACAATTTGAGAACAGATATTTTTGAGGAAGAGGGGCCACTACTATAAGAATTGCCTGGGAACCTTGCAAAACCAGGGTTTGTTTCTCTATACTATTCCTACCTTTTCTTTAATAACTTATCTTTCTCCAATTGTAACTCTATATTAATTTAATAGTTCTAAATTAGCCGACAATAGCCTCCACAATAACAATTCCTCCAGTGGTGAAAGGAAGTTGAGTACAGAGAAAGTATGTTTTGCTGTTTTGTTTGTTTTATTTGGCAGGGGTCAGAGAGGGGTGATATAGGGCAAGTCAAGAATTCTCAGTGGGAGCTCAGGAGTTCAAGGCAGTCGTGGGAGTTTCTCTTTGTAAGTGACTGAGATTCAGCAGTCTGGATGGAACTCTCTCTACTCATATGATAGAAGTTCAACAGTTCTGGGCTTCGTTTAGCCCAGAATAGCATGAATAAGTGACTTCATACAACATATGCCTGAGATTTCCTATATAACAATGAAGTGTACGTGACAATCACATTTCTAGATTCCAAGTATAACAAACAACTTTGATTTAAGATGAAAATCAAATTAAGACCTCAAAATTCTTTAACAGATAATATTAAATTGTATCTAAACATTCAAGAACAAGGATTTTTATTTTAAATAGAGTATTCATGTGAGTAATTCTTTAAAAAAACAAGCACAAACCGATCCCTAAGTATCACTGCCCAAAGGCAATGCAACTGCAAAAGTTACTACTATCAATGCAGCCAGCCCCCTACTTATAATACTCCGATTCCTGAGTTATTAGAATAATTGCCTGTTCCTATACCAGTCCAACCCCCGCCCCAGTGCTGTACTAACAGTTAGAGAATACATATTAGAGAAGTCACTGGTTTTCTGTTCCTACTGGTCAAGCAGTATAACAGAAGTGGCTAAGAACATGGGTTTTAGAGCCAGAATTCTTGGTTTCAAAGCCCAACTCCATCACTTACTAGTGTCTCAAATTATCTGTGGTTTGGCTTCCTTATAAAATGAGGCTAATAATAATAACAACAACTCTCCCTCATAGGGTTGTTGTGAGAACCAAATAAGTTCATGTATGTAAAGTGCTTAATACATTTAATGTGCTTAAAGAAGTACATGGCATATAGCAAACAACCAACCAAGTTTAAAGTTCACACCTATGCATGAAACTCGATGTTAAAACCCTGTACAAGTGATCAAGTAAAACGAAAACACTTACAAGGTCACTATATCAGCGTTGGCTGCTTCCACAGCTATACTCAAAGGGTCTTTCCCTTCTTCATCAGTGGCATGTTGATTGGCACCTCGTTTTAGGAACAAACATACCTGCCTATTTAAAGAAACAGCATTTTTGTGATATTGCCAATAAGAGAAAAATTAGTATTCACCTTAAAAAATAAAAATCACTACCCAACTTAAAGAAATAACATTTTCATTAGGGAATTCTTGATTCATTCTACAAATATTTATTGAACACTGACTCCAATAATAATTTACCATGATCAGCATTTTACAAATCTCAAGATATTTTCATGTTTAACCAGGTAATGTATAGCATAGTGGGAGCTATAAATTATGGTCCTTATCCTCAAAGAATATCATAAAAAGATGTCCACAGATATCTAAACTTAAATAAAACAAAAATCACTAAAAGTCATTATTTGGGAAAGAAGGAAGCCAAAGCAATGTTAACATCATAATATGTTAATAATACAGCAACAAAGAGTGGGAAGCAATCCTCCCGCTATACTCCACAAATATTCATAACCTGAAGAAATTGACAAAAATAAAAAAAATGGAAGAATGAGTAAATGAAGTCTATGAGGTAAAATGAGAAGAATTATGCTTAAGAAGAAAACAAAAAGGATGAGTTAAATACTATCATTTTTAAGTATAGAAAAATTTTTGTGATGATGTAATTGAACTGAATCTCTTTGCTGACAGAGGGAAAGAAAACAAGCTATGATAAAAATAAAAGATGCTTGGGGCCAGCCCGGTGGCACAGCAGTTAAGTTCACATGCTCCGCTTCAGATCCTGGGCGTGGACCTACTCACCGCTCATCAAGCCATGCTGAGGTGGCAGCCCACATAGAACAACTAGAAGGACCTACAACTAGGATATACAACTATGTACTGGGTGGGGGCTTTGGGGAAAAAAAGAAGACAAGAGGAAGATTGGCAACAGATATTAGCTCAGGGCCAATCTTCCTCAAAAAACATATAAATAAATAAATAAAACAAAAAAAAGATGCTATAAATAAACAAAAAATAACAGCTTCTTACTTGTCAAGGTAATAAGAATTGGAAATCCTGAGATGCTTCATTAAAAAACAATCACCATGATACAAACTTAAAGTCCAATTTCATGCCTTTAATGTTGCATGAGTCTAAATATTACTCCAGAAGCCACAACATCAATGGCACAGACTAAGAATTTACTTTAAAATTTGACTTTAGCTACCCTACAGGAAAACTAAAGTGTCCAAAGTTACAAAATTCTCCCAAAATATGTGTGCTATGTACATAATGTATGTGTACATGCATAAATACACACAAACACAGACTTAAGCTATCTGACAAAATTGCCATAATTTCAGTAACAGTTTTAAATACTTAAACTGATCTATACAAATGACAAGTGAAATTCAAAGTAAGCATTGCAATTTTCTTATCTGAAAAGTTAACAGTAGCATTTTTCTGAATGAGATTTTTAAAATTTCAAATTCCATCATGACAGTATAAGTCATAGGAAAGTATCACTTTACAAACTCTATCTAATGGCCTTAACCTTAGAAAAAGCAAAACATTATTTCAAAATAACTTTTCAAATAAAATCTACTTAAATATGTAAGCACTATAGTTACCCAGTGTGCCCTAAGACGGTGGCATGGTGCAGTGGTCCCCGCCCTTGCACATCTCTTTGGTTCACGTTAGCACCATTCTGTAGGAGAAACTCGCATGTCACCAAAGAGCCCTTAGAGGAAAAAAGGAGATAACAATGTACAAAAAACAAACAATAATATATTTCTATTAAAAACAGAGTATTTACTTCACTCTAATAGCCTTTCTATTTCATCCTCCCCAAAAGAGAAAATACCCCCCAGCAAACGCAGAGAAATGATAAATTATACTATTTTCTTCCCAAGAACTACTTCTAATACGGATTCAATATGCAGCTTGTAATCCAGCAAAACACACTACTTTTATTACCAGAATTCTCTTCCATTAAGAACAACAAATTGAACCTACACAATCAAAGTGATACTCAGAAATCATTACTAGCTTCTTCTATTTTTCAACCCATCTCTTACAGCAAAAAATAAAGCTAAGGCTATGTTCAGAATGAATTATGATTTCTTATATTTTACTACCACTGAAAATCTCAATGTACAAATTCATACCCCTAATACAGCCTGAATAAGTGGTGTTGCTTTGTTTTCATCTGAATTAGCCCAGTTCACATCTGCACCATGAGCCAAAGCCTCAGCCATTTTAGGAAGATTTTTTTCATATGAAGCCCTATAAAGCTGGAGTCCTGGATTAAGATGTTTAGAGTCGAGAAACACAGAGGAGTCTTGCCTTTCTCCCTCTGAAAAGCAAACACAAATACATCAATAAAAATGAGCTCTTGGCAGAGAGGGAGAGAATGGAAAGTTGTTTCATAGGTACAGAGTTTCAGTTTCGTACGATGAAAAGAGTTCCGTGGATGGATAGTACTGATGGCAGCACAACAATGTGAACAGGCTTACTGTCACTGAACTGTACACTTAAAAATGGCTAGGATGGTAAATTATGTTATGTGTATCTTACCACAATTTTTAAAAAAATGAATTCTTAATTGTGTCACAATGTGAAAGTTGGGACTTAAGAAACTACTAATTTAACAAAATGAGCTAATGGGAGATTTCCACAAAGACATTTTATTTCTAATAAACTAATCACTCCCCACTCAACGTTCTTCTCTTATAATGACACTGATTGGTATGCCAGGACTTCATGATCTTGCAAGTATCCAATGGCTAGGTTAATTACCCTGTACTAGATTAAAATTAGGTATATTCCTATAAGCCTGAACTTAAGGACTTGGAAGAGGCAGTAAGAATTCCTAAAGAATTTCACTACTAAACCAAACCTCACTTTATTCCTAGGATGGTCACACTGGCAGTACAAGCAATTCAAATAATCTGAAGAATGCTTATGATCCTGAGTATTCTGCAAGACCAAAATCATAAAGGAGAGAATACAGGAGTAAAGCACAGGTCAGAAGAAAAACCTAATAGTGAGGGAGTTGATGATCTCTTTCTCTTGATAAGAAAAGACAGCTATAAAAAAAGATAAAGAGTAATACGACATAAAGTTCATGTGGACTAAAAATTATCCTTAGCTATTAACAAGACACTTTTAGCACATATCATGAAGCTTAGGAGAATGTACAGCTAGGAGAAAACTTCCAAATATGAAAAGAAATAGCTGCTTTCTCATTTAACTGTATTACTCCTCCCTTAGTACCTTCTAAAAGACTAACCACTTCCTTTAGAAACCATCTAATCAAGACTAATTACACATATATTTTTCAGCCAACAATACCAATTAACAATGAATTTCCTCAAAACTCACCAGGCTCATATAAACTATTGGCTGACACTGTGGAGGGTAAAGATTCTCTTCCATCATCAGAGCTCTGCTGGATTCCACTGTCATTACTTTTGACTGTTTTAAAGAAAAATCAGCTAGTGATTAAAGTTCGAGCCATTAAGAAAACCATCTCCCACAAACAATGAGGTTTTAAAATGAGCTCTGATACATCAACATGAACTCAGCCACCACCACTAGAATACATTTAACATGACTTTAATCCTTTTGAACACTTAGCTTATCAAAATATGAAGCAATCACAAAGCCTGAAAATAAACTTATTTTCAGAGTTGTAACACATCTCATTACCCCATAATATGTCAGGAATAGTAAGAGCTTAATTTATTGTATGACTGTAAGTAATGTGTAATTCTGAGACAATGGGTAACATCTAGAGAAATGGCCACACCGCACAATGACCACTGGCACAGACTTGGAATGCTCCACAAGAGTAGTACTTACTACTACGTAGTTTTGAAGAAGTATCAAAGTAGGAGAAGAGTGAATCTAGCTCATCAGGACAGAACAGAGACTCCCGCCTGGCCTCGTCGCTATTTACAGCAACCACTGGGGACATGCAAGTTAGCAAAGCACAAAGCAGGCCATAAGAAGGGAAAAGGGCAGGAAAAAATGTTACTGGGAAAAATTTAGGAGGAAAAAAATAGGAAGGATATTAGGTAGTTAATCAGATATTTAGGGCTTTTTACCATAATAGATTTATAATTCCCATCTCCCCTCGCATTTTAAGCAGTTTTACTCCTTAGAATATACACATTACCTAGAAATGTGAATTACCTAGACACTACAGTCATGGGCCGCGTAACAACGTTTCAATCAATGACCGACTGCATATACAACAGTGGTCCGATAAGATTAGTACCATATAGCCTAGATGTGTAGTAGGCTATACCACCTAGGTTTGCATAAGTACACCCTATGATGTTCATGCAACAATGAAATCACCTCAGGACGCATTTCTCAGAACATATCCCTGTCGTTAAGCGATGCATGACTGTATTTAAAGTTAATTGTTTTAAAGACACCATTTTTTCTTAGAATATGAAGAAGGAAACAAATTTTTAGTATTTATAAAACCTACAATAGCTACTAATTCAGAGATTAAGAAAGAGACTTCAGCTTAAGAAAAGATTTATATACACATTAAGTAAACTGTAATACCTGAACTTTGGGGAGATGCTCTGATTTGGTCACCTGGCCCAAGTTTAGAAATGCTCAGCCTCTTTTCTTCGCAACTTTTGGAGATAATCTTTTTTTCCTGCTCAGGAGGTGATGATGATATAGAATATTTATCCACAAATTTCCTCTCCACATATTTTGCTCTGATATATGCCTCTTTCTCCTGTCTGGTATACATAAAAATGTCATGATGTTCTGCTTAATCTCTTAGCATTGCTAATACTGAAAAGAAGCCATCATATATTCACTATTTCAAAGAAAGTCACTAAATGTACTACTAGTTAAAACTGAATTTGTGACATTACGCAACATATTTTCCTTCCAAATATTTAATGAACTATGATTTCATGTTCAAATGAAATACAAATAATAAACTAACTGAAAAATCACAAGTATTAACACGGCACTCTCTTATTCTCTTAATTTCTGTGCTCATTCATTTCTATACATATGCTTTTTACAGAATGAAAAACTTTACCAAGAAAACTATAAAATTTATAGCAATTAATTTTAATTTCATTTTTACTCCAATAAATAATGATACATACTAAACTATCACTAGTGATGGCCATAATTTTTCATAAGACAACTACTTTAAAGCAATATAGCATTCCTAACTTAAGGGGGGAAATAGATGTCACATTTTAAACTTCTGATTTATGGTACAATCATAAAATGCCAGGTCTGTTCTGTATCTTTTCTTATATTGTTAAAATGCTTAGGTCTTTGACTAAAACAGAAGGATATTTCAATGTCTGAAATAACTCAAACAGCTATGCTTTAGCAAATAAATAATCTGATTTAAGTGATACTGATTTAGAGAGCAATAACTTTAAAATAGTATTGATTAGCCATAAAGATTTAGTCAAACATAAAATGCCAACATAGGATTATGGCAAATAAAATTTTAATGCTAAAAATAAAGAATCATAAAGACTAAAAACAACATCAACAACAAAAGCTAATTATGTACCTTAAAGGCACTTTTAGCCACTTGGTTCAATGAGCCTCCATATGTAGAAATAGAAGTATAATTTCGAACACAGCAATTAAGTACTCTGCAAACAGAAGCTACCTTTTTCACTTTTAATTCTTCAACATCATAATGCCATGTATGAAGTATGTGATTAACAAATATTTGCGGAACTAAATCAAACAATGTAAAATTATTCATTGTAAGTAGTAGAAACTTGATTCTTGGACACGTTAACGAACAGATTATCTCGTTTTAAAGGCCTGTCACTAACAGAACTTGGGTCCACTTTAACTGCTAAGAGCTTCTTTTACATTCCTACATACAGACTTAATTTTTAAGATTCTCTCTCATCTGGAGACTATAATTGATTATCTGATCAATAAAATATAATTATCTAATTAACATACCCAAGAAAGAGACAGCCACGTTTTAACAGAAGCAGTAATGATCTCTTCTAAACAGTCTGTCTCAATATTATGTATCCCTTACAGTGAAATAAAATCATAGCTGTATTCCTGATTAGGGGGGGAAAAAAAAAGTAACAAATTAAGACAACTGAAATAGTACCTTTGTCCTGGTTGTGGTTTCTTTATTCCCATTTTTTCCACGTTAGCTTCATAAACTCGATTTATAACATCATTCCCCAACTCACACATAAGCTGTTTGATAGGAAAATAGAAAAAAATAAGCTATAAATTTCTTAAAATACTAAAAAAGTCATTAAAGCAAGTTTCTTGTTAATGCCATCCAGTCAATTCTGACTCCCAGCGACCCTGTGTACTGCAGAGCAGAACCCTGTTGGGTCTTTTTTGCACCATCCTCTCACCTCCCGGCATTATAATAGACAATGCTCTGCTGATATTTGCAGGGTTTTCACGGCCAATTTTTCCAAAGTGTGTGGCCAGGTCCTTCTTCCTAGTCTGTGTTAGTCTGGAAGCTCCGCTGAAACCTGTGTCCACTATGGGTGACCCTGCTGGTATTTGAAACAGCAGTGGGACAGCTTTCAGCATCACAGCCACACGCAGCCACCACGGTGTGACAACCAAGAGACGGGTGGTGTGGTTCCCTGACTGTAAACAAACTTGGGAAACGAACCCGGGCAACAGCAGTGAGAGAGTCAATCTTAACCACTAGATCACCAGGGCTGGCCATTGAAGCAAGTGCAGCTAATTAATTCCTTTGCATATTCTGTAATTGCTCATTCCACATAGAAATTTAAAGTTAAAACAAAATGACACAAGGACTGAGAGCAGTATCACCATTTTGCCGTTCTTCACCAGAATACCTCCTCTAGAAGATTACCAGTCATACAAGAAAAGGTTTCTCCTCACCCATCTTCTACTAGTTTTCTATCCCTCCACTGTGACTAGCACAATGCTGCATATTATTCACGATGTCTGATGAATTAACTGGCAAAAGAAGCCTAAGGCAAGAGAGGTAAAGTTTAAACAACTCAGAACTGAGGTAAACTATTGTCTCCTTATAGTTTATATATAAATATTTCAAAATACACTGTTTAAAAGTTTCAGTAATTTTTTAAAATGTATAAGATAGTTGTGTTTCAACCAAATTTTCTTTTTTCTTTTTTTTTAATAATTTTATTTATTTATTTATTTATTCCCCCAAAGCCCCAGTAGATAGTTGTATGTCATAGCTGCACATCCTTCTAGTTGCTGTATGTGGGACG